TAGGATTAACAATGCAGATTTATTTTCACAGCCTTTTTTGATCATATTTACCAAGGGTGCCAACAATTCTGACCACGACTGTGTGTGTGTATATATATATATATATTTCAGTCTGGCAAGTAAACTAAAAAAATTACTAGCCAATGGCGATTCAATTGCCAAGGTGTCCGTAGAGGGTTGACTTAGCCTCTAACTCAAACACTGGAAAGTGAAATCTAACAGTTTATTAGCCAGTGGCTAATGATAGACATTATTTGGTCGCCTGGCATGGAAATTTAGTCGCATATGTGAGTGATTTACTCGCATTGTAGAGGGTTGAACTTCCACTATATTTCTAAGAGAAGTGCTTTACCAACTCACTAAAGAGAGCGCTAGGAAACTTCTGAGAGATGGAGAGACTCATTCAGACTGATTCATTCTTCCCTTCTGCTTTCACATCCTCAATTCAACCAACAATTGCATTTAATCATCATAAAAAATTTTTTTCAAAATATGAGTCTATTTTCGCATCCTAGACTTTCTGGATCAACTAAAAACTAGGGCTGCACGATAAATCTCATGCGATGTTTAACGCGCATCTTATCAGTAAAGCCGGTTCTGTAATCAGCGGTAAATCTCCATCACCTGCGGGCTTTCACATGGAGCAGCATTAACTACACAGAGCCGTTGTTCACTGATGAGCTGCGCAAAAAATCGCGCGAATATGAACGTGGTTTGGCGCAGCGCGCAAAACCACGTTCATATTCGCGCGATTTTTTGCGCAGCTCATCAGTGAACAACGGCTCTGTGTAGTTAATGCTGCTCAATGTGAAAGCCCGCAGGTGATGGAGATTTACCGCTGATTAAAGAACCGGCTTTCTGACAAGATGCGCGTTAAATATCGCATGCGATTTATCGTGCAGCCCTACTAAAAACATCTGCTTACATTGAATCATTTAGCAGATGCTTTTATCCAATGCAGCGATTCATCTTAAGGAGGCGATAACAAGCATGTGAAGTGCTAATAATACAAGGTTTCATATAAAAATAAAGACTATATGATCCGTGCATGCATGCGACAGCAGCTTCCATACTAACACCCATTTATAGAGCACAGACTGACTGAGATGACTGCAGTTTCACTAGTTCATGTGTCATTGTGAAAACAGAAACTCCTGTGATGAAGTTTTTCCAGCTAATCTGAACACCTCATCAGACGGAGTGATGGAAAACACAACGCTACTGGACTCTGGAGCGGCAGAAACCTTTCTGTACCTGTACTCTACACATGTAAAGCCATATTTACCATAAACACACAACCCAACTGTATGGTAGAGGTAGAGCTGGGCGATTTGGAAAAAAATTAAAATCTCGATTTTTCCAGAACGTTTGACCGATTCTCGATTTTTAACTAGTCAACTTGAAAATAACTTTTTCTTTATTAACCCTCTAGTTAAAGAAAATTCTACTCCAAGTGCAGCACACATGATGTAAATGTTAAACAAATCACTTGTTAAATATCTTTGCAGAAAAGATGCATGAACTACAACTACATATTGTACATACTTATTATCTTATACATACTATGTGTTCAGAAATAATACGAGGAAAATGCTTTTAAAAAATCTCAAAAGTAAAGGTAATTCAAATTCAAAATGACTGAAGGTATAACACCAGTAGACTATTAACTATAAATGTTCTGTAAAAACAACAGCAGCTTTCAGTCTGTCCCTGTGATGCAAACATGAAATATCAGACATACAGTAGTAGTTCTTTACAGGTTTTTTTATTCGATTGCGATGCTTTTCCATTGTTTTTTATATGTAAACATGGTTGCGCTCGCGTCTCTTGCAGCGTGTCTCTTGCATGAAACGGCAGTCTAAAAACACGGCGCTCAAGTTAAAATAAGTTCACTCCCATCTTCTTGCATGTTTTTCCTATTCCACTGTCCGCGTCGCATCTTTGTCAACACAAAAGCGCATTCTGTGTGAATGGCGCTTAACGCTATATTAGGGCTGGACAATAATTCAATATCAATATGTATTGCGATATAATTTTTTTCAATAACGGTG